AAAACTTGCCTGTGCTATTTGGATCACATTATCTTTTCTTGTCAACTATTTGTGAACACTTACACAGTTTAGACGAAGTCCTCATGTGCCTTGGTACTGCTGGCCTTCAGCTGAACACAAAAACGTGCCATTTTACCAGCTGGACAAGGTCTTGGGCCACATTGTCAGTAAGGACGGCATTCGTCCTGATCCCTATAAAATAGCCATTCTTCATTTTCCTCATCCCAAAAGTTTTCTTGGCATGGCTTCGTACTTCCGCTGATTCATACCAGATTTTGCCGCGATAGTGGCACCTTTGCACAAATTACTCGGTTACGATGTTTGCTTTGACTGGTCTCCAACCTGCGAATCAGTGTTTAGCCATCTGAAAAGTGCCCTCACAACTGAACCAGTTCTTCGCCATTTCAATGAAACAGCACTCACACCTACATACTGGCGCTAGTGGTCACGGAATAGGAGGTATTCTATTCCAGCACGATGAATTATCACATGAAAGGGTCATTGCATATGCGAGCCCCGTCCTGACCAACGCCAAGAAGAATTACATCATCACTGAACAGAAATGTTTAGCTGTCGTGTGGTCGGTGCAGAAGTTTCAACCTTATCTACATGGCCGTCATTTTATCATAGATACAGATCATCATGCCTTATGTTGGCTTTCCACTCTCAATATTTTTTCAGGACACCTTGGTCGACGGATTATACATTTTCAAGAATATGACTTAACTATTACCTAGAAGTGTGGCAAAAAGCACCAGCACGCAGATGCGCCTTCTCGCTACCCACTTCCTATGACGCCGTCCACTGCTCCCACTACTAACTTCAGCGATGAACGCTCGGATAGTCCTTCCACATCTGTTTCATTTTGAACCACTATTGACGAAATCTCCCGCTCCATCATAACGCATTAACTCGCTGACGCTTACTGTAGACACATCATAGATTGGCTTCAGGAGAAATCGCGACTGCCCAATGCCCGCTTTAGGTGACAGCTCAGGCAGTTCAAGCTCAATAACCGCTTTGTTTACCGTCACATCTATCACTTGGATGGTCAACGCTGGGTACCCGTTCTGCCTTTCTCTCTTCGAGACTATATTCTTTACTAAGGCCTATCACGACGACCTGACTGCTGGTCAATTCAGTTTTCAAAAAGTGTACGATACCATTAAAGGTTATTTCTACTGGCCAGGGGCGTCTGCCAGCGTAGCGAAATACGTCACTACCTGCAATCATTGTCAGCGCGAAAACTTCCGACATCACCTCTATGCGGAGAGCTGCAACCACTTCCATGTTTGCTGGCACCATTCGAAGTCGTTGGCATTGATCTATATGGTCCCCTTCCCGCGGCTCCCAGTGGCCATTGATTCATAGTGGCAGCTGTCAACCACTTGACATGTTACGCTGAAACGTCCCGCATGCATTTGGCCTTTGCTTCTGCCGTGGCTACATTTAAGCTTAAAACCTTGAAACCTTCTGTCACGGTGCTCCTCTTGTGATCCTGAGTGACAGTGGAAAAGCTTTCCTTTCGCAAAGCCACAAGACAACATCTAGCTATCGCCCCCAAACCAACGGGCTCACTGAGCGATTTCATCGTACTCTCTCCGACATGATAGCCATGATCATCGAGCCATACCACACCAACTGGGCTGCAATTCCGACGTTCGTAACGTTCACATATAATACTTCCGTACAACGCACAGCTGGCTACTCGCCGTTCTTCCTTGTCTATGGCCGATCGCTATCGTCCTTTCTTAACGTCTCGTTCTTAACAGCCCCTGTCACACCATCTGCATCCTCCTGTAAACAATATGTGTCCCGCCTCCATCACTGTCGCCAGCTCTTCAGACTCAACAGTGAGGCAAGACAACAAGTCCGTAAGAATCTGCATGACGCATCCCACACCAGTGTGATCTTTCGCCCTGGTGATGAGGTGCTACTCCAGACACCAGTTCGCACTCCTGGCTTGTGCGACAAATTTCAGTTTCGGTTCCTCGCCCATTAATTATCGCGTTGAACCTGTGGCTGCTTAAAGTGACCAGCGCTATCACGGTACCAAGATAGTGCATGTCTCGCATATGAAGCCTTTCGCAAGGCGTTCTTCGCACCTATAAGTTACGGCAAGGATGGCCGCTCTCATGCGTGGGGATTTAGTGTGGGCATTCACAACACGCTTCTTCACATGAACATAACCATCATCACATAGTGTTCATCTTCATTGTTAATGAATAAAGCTCTTGAGTCTGTTCTGTGCCTTGGAGGCGACTGTTTTAGCCACGTCTTCTAGGCCTAATAAAGGCGTGTGAAGTACTACGTCGCAATATAAACCTCCTTAAAGAAATTTACTGCGGATCAACTGCCACTACAGTGCTTCATAAAAAAAGCAACAGAATACTAACAAAGAAGGCTGTAAGACAAGGGGATACGGTCTCCCCAATGCTATTTACCACGTGCTTACAAGAGGTTTTGAGAGGCCTAGATCCGAAAGAGCTAGGGATACGAGTTGATGGAGAGTACCTTAGTAACCTGCGCTTCGCCAATGACATTGCATTGCTGAGTAACTCGGGGGACGAATCGCAACTCATAATTACTGAATTAGAAAAGCACAACACAAAGGTAGGTCTTAAAATTATTCTACAGAAAATGAAAATAATATACAACCCCGGAAAATAACAGCACTTCAATATAGGTAACAGTGCACTTGAAGTTGTATAAGGCTACGTCTACTTAGGACAGGTAATAACAGTGGAGCTGAACCACGAGATTGAAGTAACTAGAAGAATAAGAATGCGGTGGAGCACATTCGGCAAGCACTCTCAAATGATGACTGGTAGATTGCCACTATCCCTCTAGAGGAAGGTATAAAACTGCGGCATCTTACCAGTACTTGCCTACGGAGCAGAAACCTGGAGGATTACAAAGAGGGTTCAGCTTAACTTGAGGACGACGCAGCAAGCAATGGAAAAGAAAATTATAAGTGTAACCCTAAGGGACAAAAAGAGAGCAGAGTATATCGGGGAACAAACGGGTGTTAAGTACATCATAGTCGAAATCGAGAACTCATGGGCAGGGCACGTAATATGAATGCAAGATAAGCGCTCACGGCGCTGGTCATTAAGGGTTAGTGATTGGATACCCAGAGAAGGCAAGCGGGCGAGGTGGAGACAGAAAGTTGGGTAGACAGATCAGATTAGGAAGTTTGCGGGTATAACATGGCAGCAGCAAGCACACGACCGAGTTGACAGGCCGAACATGGGAGAAGCCTTTGTTCTGCAGTGGGCGTGGTCAGGCGGACAACAATGTTGCAATGAACACAGCATGGACCTGTCTGCAACCATTCATGTTATGCTTAAACTCCACCACAACCTAATTGAAGTCTTTTTTTTTTCACTGTAGAGACATCACTGGAAAAAGGATGCTTGTGGTCATGTTACTAATATCCCAGGAATGCAAAAGTTTTTGTCCTTTTAGAGAAATGTGAAACTTTAAATTCATTGTTATTTCAACAGTGAATCCAGTGCGTAAACAAACTCGCCTGCTCAGTATAACAGTGCTTGTGTATTCTAAAATTTTATTTTTCGAAGCTTTTAAGTTGACAAGGTAAACAAAATTATTGAAAAAAAATTCTTTTTTTTGCTTTATTTGAAACTTGCAGCCTTTTCTGAACCAGAATCAGTCCTTTGTTTGTCTTTGCATAATTCTCTTCCAAAAAGACATATTTCAAAACTTGCGCGGCGGCCTGCCATGCCCCGTTTTTACGTAGCAAGGGACTCCTTGCTGTTCAAGAATCATAGCCATATGGAGAAGTTACAGTTTACAAGCTGCAATGCATATGGCACAATCTGAAAAGAGTGGACCGAGAACTGCGAAAATGAAAGAAAGCCGAGGCATCAAACTTTCTGCCGGCAAATCTATATCTCGTTGGGAACGTCTTAGTGGTGTCATCATTGGCAAGCACCAAAACTATTATTGTTAGGCCAATAAAAAACTACAGCCACCATGAATGACATCCGAAAAGCTGTCCAGGCTACATGTTTTCACATGACATCAAAGGACACCAATCAATCCCACGACCTCTGTTTGAAGGGCGCCAAAACGGTGTAAATTCAACAAAGCCCAGTTGAGTGGTGAACCGTTCGTTCGTAAGAAGACCTTCCAGCATCTGTTATTGAGGCCGTTATGACAAATTATTTGAAACTAGCTCATCAAGAATTACTTCCTAAATACCTCCATGAGAAAACTCGAAACTATAAAGTCATTGGAATGTCGTGTGAGAGCGTGCTCTAGAAAAACATTTTCCTCTGGCACCAAACACTGTAATTATGCACTCTTAATGCTGTGCTCACTTTTAATGATGGTAGTGTAGCAGATGTGAATGTGCTGATTTATTATGAAATTTCGCGAGAGCACTGCACAGTGCCCAGGACCTGTGCACCCTTGATTTGCGTCATTTTTTTGCTGGCATGGCTGCATAGCAGGCGACAAAGGAGGCTCGACAGGCAGTACGTGTCTATACAAACAGAAAAAATGATATTGGAGATGAGTATCTGGCTGGTGCCTATTAAAAGGGTCCGTCAGTATGCTGTTATCTCCTTGTACTTTTGAAATAATGCACATCTTCAACCTTAGGTGCTTTTTTGTCAGAATATGTTTTTTTTTTTGTACTTATGTTCCTTTTTTCTCAGCAACCACTGTATTTATATGGATAGATTTCGGCTAATATTTAGATAACTTAATAGAGAATATGTTGAAGCAGAATTATTGTTGTATGAGAAAGTGCTCTTCTGCAACATGGCATCTAATAACTATTACTCAGTGATAATTAGGTATGCAGTAAAAAATTTACGAAAAATTTGCATTGTGATTTTCAGTGCTAAATCTGCTTCAATAAAGAAACAAATGGCTCCTGATCACAATGATAGTAAAATAATTACTAAAGCTCTTATGGTTATAGAGAAAAAAGGTACATAAACCTTGCCAAAAATACATGGTGGGTATGGGGCTTATTGTGTTCCCTTAAAAGGGGTATTTTTATTCTCCGCTGATATTTTGCTGTAGGTTTCATTCACAGCGAATTCAAATGCAGCATTATGTAACGTTGAGTGTTATACTAGTTGGTCCAGGTGATGCGTCCCCATGTGAGAGTCTCTTATGCCGTATGCCCTATTTGAAATTTGAAATATAGAATGACATTATCCTATCACTGTCAACCTTAAAGGTGGACATCAGTTTCAAAGAGTATCACATTTTGTGAGATTAATTGCCCAAAAAAGAAACTACGCTGCTCTTTATAAAAAAAAAAATTGTGAATTGCCTTTCAACTGTTGGTACAAAAGGCCACTTTGTTGCTCCAAACTGCTATCAAGAGGCCATTTTGCTACACATTACCATAAAATCCTGAGCAAGCGCCCCGCCCCCTTTACAGTGAAAGATGATCGGACAAGATTTGAGGGGGATTTTTTGTTCTGTCATGAACCAAAAGTCAAGATGGCAGCAGAAGAGCCGCTGAGTAGTGGTTCCAGTCAAATGCTTAATTGAATATGTATGCATTTACTGTTTTTACTTAGCCATAGGGAATCCTTGTGTGTCATTTATAGCATTATGACAAGGGGGAAAGACATTCTTCAAATGTTCCAATCATTTGTGACTCTACAGGATGTTACATTGCATCACCACACAGTAAAGGTGCAAAGAAATCGTGCGCATATTAAAAGACTGAGCAGTCGGGCAACTAGAAACTGATGCTGCCGGATTCTGGGGTGGAGGACAGGCCTCGAAAAATTGGCGAGAGGGGGTTGGGGCTTGCTTGGGCATTGGCGCACGCTTCAAATCTTCAGGGCCCTTGCTTGGGATTTTGCAGTACTACAAAGGCCTTTTTTTGGCAATACGTTCTCTAGGTCTGCACCTAAGAGTTTTGCTGGAGTCTCGGTAATAATGATTGCAAAGTAGCAAGCAGAGCTTACCTATTTACTGTTTTTTAGCATATCTGTGGTGGTGGTGCATTAGTATTTCTCATTACCTATTTGTCAAAATTTAGACCGATACCAACAAGGGAAAAAGAAAACATGAACACGGAACAACGTGCAGTGCCATAAATTTAGCTGCTTTGTTGTTGTAGCACTGGGTACAGGCAAATTCAATCTCCACTGCCAATGTTATTTTATGACATGAATTCTATGATCTCGCCAACAGTTTTACCTTTTATGTGGGCAAAAACTGAAAACAGTTCCAAGGAGTGAAATCGGAGAAAACAACGGAGCTGCGATCGTTGCTTCAGTGTTTTTCTGTTTAGCTGTGGTTTCTGGTGTATTGTTTCTGTGTTTTACTGCTATTCGTCCTTAGTGATAGACGTTAACGGCAGCCAGGTGGCAAATTGGGTCAAGCTGCTGAGATCTTGTTACGCTGTATCACACATCCAGCTTTGCATACAGTAATAGATAGCAAAAAGCTCACCCCACCACCGCCAGTAACATTTGTGTGGCTTAGAAGCTGTGCTTATAGATACCCACTGGACAATGCCTAGTTTACCACGAAAAGCTAGACTATGCATCATCGCTCTTCCAGTGGAGGTCCGATTATAAGTCAGTGGGTGCCCTCCAACGGTGGAAGATGACACGAAGCTACGACATCACAGTCTTGGATTTCACTCAAGGAACTGAATTGTCCGCAGCACCACCATCCGGTTCTCCCCGCTCTTGTGGCAAAGGCACGGCCTTCCGGAAGGCAGACGACTCAATTTCCAGGGTTACAGGGCCATCGTTCTGAATGTCCACTTGCATTAATGCTCCAAACTCTCCGTTCTTTACGAAGTCCTCCTTGTGCTCCGTCCTGATCTTGTGAAGAAACCTCTCGTAGAACTGCTTCGAACGGTCTCCTTCCATGGCGAGATGGAAGTCGGGCTTGTTTCCCTTGAGTGTGCCATACAGCGTGAACTGACTCACACAAAGCACTTCAAACTGCAGCTCCCTCACAGACAGCTTCCACCGCTTGCCAGCATCATCATCAAACAACTTGAGATTGAGAATTTTGCGTACAATGTAATCAATGTCATCTTCAGTGTCATCCCTGTGGATGCCAATCAAGACGCACAGGCCACGGCCGATGCTGCTTATGAGGCGTCCATCGACATGCACTGCTGCTGACCGAACTCGCTGGATGACTGCACGCATTCTGGGAAGATACAACAGTTCCGTTCCCGTGGTGTCCTGGAAAAGACCACAGGAAATGTTGTGACGTAAGGCTCTTTTTGTGTGGGAGAAGGTTAAGTGTAGCACACCATCGTTGGCCACACTTTATGCTATGGCAGCTAGAATATGCAATGCTCACCACATTTGATAAATGTCCACGTGTACAGGTTACATTGTGTCTTGGTGAGAAATAAAACAATTTGCAGCTAAATTTTACCTAAGTCTACCACATTTTACATAGAGACATTTACTTCTTCCGAGTTTTGCTATGAACTTATTTAGCAGTTTTGGAACAGGGTAGACAAAGCTTAGCGTACGGATTCGCCTTCGGTTAACGTCGATACGCGAGCGCTAAAGCCACTTGTGTACGCGCGCTAACTTTTGAGTAAGCGAAATCTCTACAAGTGCACCATCGCGTACGCGAAACGGCCGAATCGTGTACGATGTACGGTCGCTACAAAGTAAGAAAAAAGTTTTTTTGTTGTTATTGTTCTGTCTGCGGGTTCTTGCAACGCCGTAGAACAGCGATTTCTTCTAGAAAGCGGTTCAAACAGTCACCTGTTGCACTATCGGCACCTACCGATGTATTCATGTAAACCAGCTGGCCCTTCGGTCGCTTTGCTGACAATGTATTACGTTTCGCACTTTTTTTTTTTTTCCTAAATCCACTGTGAAAGCATTTTGAAGCGTATATGAGAGCCGTGCACTGCATGTGTGGTCACTCTCTGTTGTCACAAGTGCATTATTGCAACTACCGTCACAACAAGCACAAAAATCTCACAACGCACCTCGTAGCCCGGCCAACCGCGGTTAGGTTAAGGATCGTACTGAAAGAACAGTATTCACTGTATTTCACGCTCACTGACACAATCGCATTGAAATTGTATTGAAATAAAAAACTAAAAAAACAACGTTGCCTTACACAGTGTTGCCTGACTTTGTTTTTTTATCGCTAAACCTAACAAAGTGCTATATTTGTTTTGGTTCCAATTTGCAAATAAACTCAGACAATCGTCTGAACATATCTATCTTGAGAATAATTTTCAATGTTCGGCTGATACTTTAAACGTGTGCGTGGTTTTGTTTGCGTCGACCACTCGTCGTATTCGTCTGCTTCGGTCGGTGGCGTTGCGCTGCTTAGCATATGCGATGTTTCCGTTGTGCGCTTTCCACACAAGTGAAACAGCAATCGTGCTTCGTCGTTTCTGAGGGTGCGGCAACCGAAGTGACGACTCGACGTCTTCCTAAAGCGGCCGAAAAGGCCGACAACGAAGCAGGCGACAGCCGGCGCATGCGCCCAGGCGTTTTCTCATCCTGATGCCGGAGGAATGCCGAGAACGGACTCGGCGTTGTTGCTTCTGTTTTGAGAGAACTTGACGTACCGACGGACCTTTCGCTTCAAGTGTACAATCTTCCCGAGTGGTGCAACGTGTGCTCGTGGGAGCCCTCGTCAAGCGACAGCCGAAGCGGTAAGTACGAATTTGATTTGCTTGTGGAGCTATTTTCCACGTGATGATGCTCGCAGGTGAAGCGCGTAGTACGTGCGCGCTACCGGTTCATCAGCACCAAGGCCAGCTGATTTCCTCCTAGTTTTAGGCTTAATCTCTGCGTTACAAATGTTTTTCACGGCCTCTTTGTTACGAAACGAGCTGGCCTTCGATGTGTGGAATTTTATAAGCGGGCGTGCTACTCGGCCGATTTGTCGCCGACGTCTTGCGTGACCTTCGAGGCCAAAACTACGGTGCCCGCGACCCTGGTGAGTCGTCGTTTAAGGGCTTATCTGCGGGGTTCCGCGTCCGCTGCTGTTTGGACGCGTGCCGTGTTTTTTTTTTTTGTTTTTTTTGTCAACTGCCGAAGGTCTGGGGCGTGCACTTGGCCGCATAAGATAATCACCGCCCGCGACGACGTACGCGAGCGGTTGGTGCGTAAGTACGTGCCGGACGCGTTTACGTGTTTTCGTCGCGATTTATCGGAAACGAAGCAGACGACGTTGCAGAACAGCGCGGATCGAGCCATGCATGTTTGTCCTTTGCGGGGATGATCGCGTGGCCTTCGCGTACGTCTCTTGCCTATTTACGGGAAGAGAAGAAAGCAGAACCTCGAGAGGTGCTTTGCAGTCGGTGTCGTACAGTCCGCGATGTGGTTGCGACACGTATGTGCTTGTAGGCCAGTATCTGTAGTGCCGACACCAATTTCTACGGTGTCGCTGATAGGCGATCCACTCTTTCCGTTAGTGCCTCATCATACTGTTTGCGAGGATTCTGAATGCTGCAAAGGTCCCATCCATGGCTCCGAGGTGCAAATAGTTGTAGGGGAGCCAGGCGCTGTGAGAGACGTGGCCAGTCTTTTGCTTGCTACTTTTTACGGCGAGTTCCTTAATTTGCGCTATCGTGCATGTCAGCCCACTCGCCCAGAACCACAGTTACACCTACACAACTTCACTAAAGAGAAATAATAATTCAGCGAAGACTACTGAGTTATCTACAGAACTCTGTGGTAGTTGATTTCATTGCCACAAGAATTCATTATTTGAAAGAGGAGATCATGCCCATTTGAAATAGACGCTAAGGAGCAATACGCTTTTTCCAATATGACGTAGTTAAGTACAATTTCATAATCTCGAAAACACCATTCTTACTGCGACACGGCACTTGGTTATGGAGAAAACATTAAAAAATAAACTGCGGGTGGAGACGCCACCTTGCAATTCCCGCAAGTGACGTCATCAATTTTCGAAGGCGTTTACTGTGTGTTACGTAGCTTCTAAGCGATAAAATTGAAGTACATTGTAACTTGCGGGTGCCATAGACATGGCATACGAAGTATCGGAAAATTTCATCGAGTCAATGTCGCTAAAATATGAAACATACATTGTGGAATTTTCTGCGTCATGCGTGGAGATGGCGCGAAACTTAAAAATGAAACTTGGACCATGATTTCCTCCGCTAACAACGAACTTATGACAGCGAAACTGATGACATGACAGTTCCCGGAGCTGAATTTATCAATCTGAAAGAACTCATTGTTTCTCTTAAAGGGATTTGAGGATGCTAGCAGTAACTCCGGTAACTTGACCTACTCGTTACAATTTCAGAACTGTGACGGGAAGCGTAGTTACGCAACGACTTAGTTCTTCTAACGCAGCATCAGGCAGCTGCTGGCCTGCCAGGCATTGACCAAGAATGCGCGGGTGGACTCGGTTTTGTTTGTGGAAATCTCAGGTAGGAAGACAGCGACTTCACGTGGGCTATACGTTGGGCCATCGCCACGCAAAGCTTGAAGCAAGCCGAGGAATCCTCCAAGAGTAGCTGAACTACACTACACATGTACGGACATGCTTTTCGTAGATTGCAGGATATGGCCTTTCTGTGCCCGAAGGGAAAGCGCCACACTGCGTGAGCATTCTGACGCGGGGAGGCAAAAAACTTCCATGAAAGAATGTGAGCACTTGAAAACGACGCCCGCAAGTTCCAGTGAGAACGGAGCACACTCGCTGAGCACAGCGTGGCGAACGACCACCGCATCGAACTTGACAAGTTCCGCATCGTCGGCGGAGATAAATTACTGTAGGTAGCTTTTTGTGGAATTCTGGCTCATCCTGGAGACACCCAGTAACTTCACTATAGTATTTGGGGTATTACGTCACAAAATATGATTATGAGAGATGCCAAATGTGGAGGGCTGGCCCTGCCGCGGTGGTCTAGTGGCTAAGGGCTGCTGACCCGCAGGTCGCGGGATCGAGTCCCGGCTGCATTTCCGATGGAGGCGGAAATGCTGTAGGCCCGTGTGCTCAGATTTGGGCGCACGTTAAAGAATCCCAGGTGGTCGAAATTTCTGGCGCACTCTACTACGGCATCTCTCATAATCATATGGTGATTTTGGGACCATACATAACAATCGAATGTGGAGGGCCCATATGATTTTCTTTAACGCACATCTCACAGTACATGGGCCATTTTGCCTCCACGGAAATGCGACCGCCGGGATCGAATCCCTCGGATCAGCAGCCTTACTAGGGCTGCGGCTTGGGCAAGTAGGTTCTTGCTTATAAAGGGGGAAAAAGATGAAGAAGGCACGACAACAGCGGCGACTTACAACTGACTATTCTTTGACATGTGGACAGTCAAATATCGGAAGAAATGATATGATGCCTCTATCTCCCGTCGATATGCGTCACCGCCGTCCTGGGCTTGACACGTAGCACGAAGCCAAGATAACCGCTGGTCATTGACGATCACAGACTGCATTCGAAGCCTGAAGACAGATAGTTTGGTGGGCAGATGAGATTGGGAGGTTCAGGGGTATAAAGTGGCAGCAGCTAGCACAGCACCGAGTTGCCTGGTGGAACATGGGAGAGTCCTGAAGTAAGAGTTGTCATGATGATGATGATGATGATGGCATTTCTTCAGCCCTTAAAAAATCCAACAAAACTGTGGGCGCGTTTGTTGTTTTTTTCGCCACTCCTACTCCTCAGCTTTGCGAATCTCAAGGTGGCCCGCTTGGCAGATCCACATTTGAACCCTGAGAGCCTATCAAGGGATTCGACAGGCTTGGTTCCACACAGTACTTTTATTGAAACTAGTAGAACTCATATTCACTGCACGGTTTAGGGGATGTTGAATGGTTTTGGGCATACCCCCCCCCCCCCCCTTTTTTTTTTTCGAAATGTAAGACTTCTTTTTCATACTGCTCGAAATTCAGTCTTTTGTGGTAAAACAAATAAATGTCTTTTTTTTCTGTAACCTGCTTCAAATTTGGATTTTAGTGCTCCAAAAGTAACATTTCGCTGCTATGAAAATTGCTTTACATTCTATTTCGGCTAATGCACCCCTGCAGTAGTGGTAATGTGTTACATTTTTTTTACGAGTTCCTTTTTTTTTCGAGTTCCATAACGAGATTCTTTTTTGTTTGAGGAACCAGAAAGGTATTTCGTTACTTTCTTTCATTTTTGCATGGGAACCTATGTATACCACACTAATTTTAATGCATGATAAGTCGCGATGTGCAGTTTTTTTAATATATATATCTGGAATTCTGTGGTCACATGAGGCAGAAGGTGGGCACCTTCTGCCTCACACGAAACTATTACGATGTCTTTGAAAGTCATTTTTTATTATAATTAATATTCTTGGAACAGGGCGTGTCGCTGAAGCCGGACTTCGAGGCTGCAGCTCCAATTGTTGCGGCATAGGTAGAAAACATTTGGCCTCCTCATCACGGACATCATGAGCAAAACACTACCCAGGAAGTCGGGGAGAGCCGCGCGAGACGGCACTGTAGTTGGTAGTTTGAGGATACCTGTAGAGAAGCACGATTCTGCAACTCGGTAGGGGGAACGAAAGGGCGTGTAACATCGTGTGTAGCATGCAGACGGTCGCTAGTGTTGCGCAGTTGCCACTCTCGAATCGCAATGAATCCAGAATCATTCCACATTTTCGCGACCCCGGAATGGAATGGCGACAAACCTTGGAGGAGTGAAATTATCAAGCGCATTTTGCATGGAATGGAATTACGTCTTTTTCTGAAAATAGAGCAAATTTTTGTTGATGTGCTGTTTTCAAACTTCAGTACGTCAGACCCTCGAATTTAACAATAAATCAGTCATTTGAGAAATGCTTGTCTAATTACAAGCAGGGTACATTTATAAGCAACGCACATACTATAATTCCATTTCGATATAGACTATGTTGCTCCGAAGTTTTTCTCTATTCTTTGCGTGACCGCGGCTCTACGCAATGGTATCCGTCACGCGTAACTACGATGGCGCCGTACTCCCCTTCTACCTTGTGATTTTTTTCCGCCTCTGTAACGCCTCAGCAGCCTGCTCCACCTTTCACTTTGTTTTTTTTTCTTCTGCCGCCGTTGGTGACTCGGATGCATTTTCGAAAAAGCGCTTCTCTAAAATGTGATGCGTATCGACGCTGATGCGATCCTTGTGTTTACTGCAAACTTTCGTGTACCAGCTTGCGCGCCGTCTCATCACATATTATCCCCCCCCCCCTCCATTTCTTTTTTTTTTTTACAGTATTGTCCCCCCTGCATACAGACATGGGCGCCTTTGCCCGAAACTCTTGCAATGGTCAGCGCAGCACCCATTCGTACACGATGAGCTCTGTGAATTGTTGTACAAGATGAACCGTACAGAGAGAGCTAGAATATACTTTTGAAAGCATTAGTCCGGGTTGCCAGCCAAAGCAGGTGATCCCACGTTACCAACGCGGCGCCTCCCTGAATCCCTACGCGACAATTCGCCAAGTCGTCATTTCAACATCAATGCATTTAAGTTTGAACAATATTAAAACATCATCATTCGTTCAGACATATAAAAAAAGTCTGCATGTTCACTAACTAAATACTAACCGTTTACTTGTCACAAAAAGCACTAACCTCCTAGTAAGTGAAGGTGGTAAAATGCAGGTTAGTTAAACCTGTTAGTTTGCCAAGTAGTTCGGAAATAGTACTGACTCGA